ATGTAGGCTATAGTAAAAACCCAAATCACAAATAAAATGAAAGGCGGCAGAAAGAAGAAAAAATCTTAAATCTGTGTCTTTTTCTTCCCGAAATTAAATTTTTAAACAATAATAATCTACAAACAAGAAAAACTAAACAAAAACAACCTCAAATCTTTGTTGAACAACATTTTTTGTGAATACGCATTATATTGTTTCATATTTCTTTAACAAAGAAAGAACATTTTATTTTATTTAATTAAAATTGTGTTGTGTACCAGCCGTATCTGGTGCTGGGGTGAAAACGATCAGTGGTGCCTCCAGAAACCTTTTATTAAAGTGTGTGTTATGTGTGTGGGGGKGCTGCTGAAAGTTCTGGGTTGGCACCAAAACTAAAGCCAGAACAGAACTTTAGGAAGTCAGTTATTGTTGTCATGTTCATAACACTGTCAAGATTTAACTTATTGAAACATATCCTCTCCTACATTTATTTTTATTAAAATTATTACCCTGCGTAATGTTCAGGACGTTTGTTTTAAAACAGGATGTACTTCAGAGCGACTGGATTTTAAGTTTTTTTAAATTTAAATAAAATATGTTTTTAATTTTTTTAAATTTCTCAAAAACATTGTTTGTTTGTTTCTGAGGTTCTATCAGCCTTAAATGGCCAGGGTAAATTAAATAAGCATTAACAGCAAAAGCTTAGGACTTGAGATTAAAACCGTCTGACCACGGGGGGGCAAGCGGTGGGTGGTGGGCAGTATCGACCCCCCCCCCACCCCATCCTGTTTGACCCCTCTGAACTTGACGTGTCCGAGTTTTTAGTTAAAACTGTTACAAATGGTTTTCATTCTGGAATGCGTCCATTTTGACTCAGAAACAACAAAGAGGGGCTTAAAAACAGAGAGGTGGAGCTGAGAGTGCATACCTGTTCATGACAGAACATGTATAAAATGCAGGCTAATGGCAGCTGTGATTCTAGCTGCACGCCCCCCCCCCCCCACCCCCACCCCACAGCTGAACAGGTCTGCAAATGGAACAGTCGCATGAATTATGTAATCCAGTTGTTTTCTTCCTGCCAGACAATCAATGAGCAGCCAGTGTGTGTGTGTGAGTGAGTGTGTG